CGAAGCAGATTCGCTGTCTCGTTTGTCTGTGTGGTGTAGAGTGTGGAAGAGGGTAATCATGATTTCGTCTCGTCAACTAATTGACGAGAAAGTAGACTGAAAGTGTTATTGCATTAAGGCTGGTTTTCATTAGCGACGGAGTCGTAGTCGGAGTCGTAGTCGGAGTCGTAAGAACGCTTATGACCTAGTGAAAATCGAAAAACGGAGTCGTAAGCGGAGTCATAAGCTCGACGGAATCGGAGTCGGAAGAATCAGAACGTTTCCATTTTCTTCCGATTCCGCTTATGACTCCGTCGCTTACGATCTAGTGAAAACTGCATTGTCGGAGTCGGAAGCGGAAGTGAAAGAATAAACCAATCACAATGCTCGATTCCATCTTTCCAAAATGCACAAATAGCCATAACAAATTGAAACGTGTGAGCTTGACTGTAAAATTACGAAATTAAAAGTTAAAATACTCGAAACCTACCGAAAGTACAATTCACGATCACCAAGTCGTAGTTCGCTGACGAGGTTAGCATACTCTTCCTAAGCTGCTCGACGTCGATAGATATCACGAACCCAAAATTTCTTTCTTTTACGAACGATATTATTCCTGTATTGTCTCTGCCTACGCAAAATAATGATAAATAGGAGCCAAAGTTGCTCTTCGTCCGCCATGTTGTCTTTGGCGCCAAAATTTGTACTTTAGCGGGCCTAGAATAAAGCATTGTGATTGGTTTATTCTTCCACTTCTGCTTCCGACTCTGACAATGCAGTTTTCACTAGATCGTAAGCGACGGAGTCATAAGCGGAATCGGAAGAAAATGGAAACGTTCTGATTCTTCCGACTCCGGTTTCGTCGAGCTTATGACTCCGTTTTTCGATATTCACTACGTCATAAGCGCTCTTACGACTCCGACTCCGTCCCTAACTGAAAACCAGCCTTAAGGGATGTAACGTTTGTGGAGGAAACCTAAATTAAAAACAAAACACGACAAGACAGTACAGAACAGAACAGAGGATAATAATTTTTTGAAGGAAAAAAGAAGAGAGTGTTAAAAAATAGTTTAGTATATATTTTGAACTATTTTTACAATCATAAAAAGAGTCACTCATTTACAAGTGATATCATCTGATCTGGTATCAATTAAAATGTTTGAATAACACCACATCACAATTTGATAAATATCTATTGACCTTTTACACTCTATTGTAAAACAGTTTCATATAATTCCAAAAAAATACGGTACTTTTTCCTAAAAATTGTCATAATAATGGATTAACTGATGCGTTCGGTCAAGCTTGGGATGGATATTTTTCTCTCGGCGTGACAAAATCAAATGCGTCGTTAGACCCTCAGACTCACAGCTGTGATTTGTTGTCACTCAACTCGTTCGATCAAATGGTTGTAATTTGTGTACGTATCTCCTCAGGGCATCCACACCGAAGCGACTCAACCCACGAGACTTCACTGATATAGAGGCGAGTGGCCAGCCGGTCCAGAATGGCACCCAAACCCTCAGATTTCACAACATCCACAAAAAAACGACACAAATAATATGATTTCTCCACGTCAAACGCAAATAACAAACACAAAGCTAAATTATTCAAGTTCACTTTTCCTGGGTCGCGAAGTATCATGCAAGACATTTTCAAATTTTTGTCTGAAACTGGTTTGTTCCCGTCTATATTTCAAAATATGAAACAGAAACAATTTTTTTGTTGTTTTCTCCGATTTTTTTCCTTTTTTGTTTCTTTTTATTCTCATTCGTTAGACTCCACCTGAGAAAAAATCTTATGGCAGTGGCGTCAGGATTTCAACAAATGCTGCAGGGAATCGACCCACTCTCGCGTCCAGTTCACCTTGAATCCACTCGTCATTTACACGCTCCAGTAGTACAATTATGTCACCAGTCTAAAAAAAAAAAACACCATACGAAGTCAACTAAGGGTACTTTGGAAACATAAAAATAGGAAGATGTCCATACCATGTTTGAAGCATGAAGTTAAATGTGGTAATGAGAGGAACTAACTTAGGTCTCACCCTAAAACACAGCTCATCTTCAAATTCGCCATCAAAATCAAATAAGGCCTTAGCTTTTGGCGTTGGTTTCATTTCCTTTCTGACTGGTGGGAAGTTCTTCTCTTCAAATGAAAAGAACCAAAGATGTCAGTAACTGTGTTTTGTCCGTTGAACGTGAGGCTAAAGTTGGGTGCAAGTGAAGCTAGCCGCGTTTTTCAACATGGCTCTGTCCCTCTTACTTGCGACATTTCGTTCGGAGGTGTTCAAGCAGAAGAGGGGCACAAACAAGCCTCGAGAGTTTTCCGTTGTTAAGCCACTGAAAATTCAACGATTTCTCAACCGATTAGATTAACTTTTCGAGTCCTTGTCAGCCTTATCTTCTCTCTTTATACGAGTGGAAGTTCACTTCCTGGGGGTTGGGCAGAAGAGACGGCTCAGCCGAAGGAGGGGAGAGAGATGCGAGCCAGTAATTCGTTAGAAAACTCAAAAAATTTACGTTGGACCTGGATGTAACATCCTTGACATTAAAGGCAATTCATCCGTCTTTATGGGTAACGCATTGGTACAATAGTTAGCCCTTGATTACAGACTAAAAGATTCAGGCTCCAGCATTGGTCATTACGTAATAGTGCCGTTTTTTTGCGCACAAAACTTTGGAAAATAATAAAGTTAAAAAGTACTTCCCTTTACCTAGCTCTGTAAACTCGATGGGTAAACGAACATAGCTGTCTATTAATTAGAAGGGTAAGTTTTTAATTCAGTCTGTTACCTGATTCCTCTTTCGACAGCTGCACAAAAGCTCGAGGAAACATTCCTTCCTGTCCTTTGTGTTTTCCTCTCAGCCATTCATCGTTAATTATTTCGGTAATTTCTATTTTGTCTCCCTCATCAAACGTCAATTCGTCGGCTACTGTGCCGGTCAAATCATACAATGCTGTACCATACTCAACATTGCCATGCTTTTTCTCCTCTGAATAAAAATAGACAAGTTCTTTAGTGGTCTGAATATAATTGGCAATTTCGTTAGTGGATAGCAAAAACTTGAGGTAATGGTTGAAGTGCCTTTGCGTTGAACAACGAATTCTGTTGCATCAAGAAAGGTGGTCCTACATAAGAACAAAAGCGTATCCGATTAAAGTAAAGGTTACCAAGAATCATTATTACTCACCGTGGCTAGATGGGAGTTAAAGATGTTTATACTGAGAACAATCAATTGCTATACGCTCTCAGGCTATGTGTCTCTTCCACGTAAAACGTAAATAAAACTTCAAACATGCGACCATTACTCGTACAGCCATCCAGCACCTTTTACACGTATTAACGTAACATTCTTCCACAATGAAAGCCAACTCTTCCGAAAACAGATGTTTATAGCGCTATTAACTAAGATAAAAGATAAAAGCTTGTTACTTACCTGGTTGTCTCTTTTGCTCTGGCGTGTTGTGAAGAATTTCTATATAGGCTGCCGGAAACATGCCCATTTTCCCATGCAGTTCACCTTCAAGCCATTCCTCACTAACTCTCTTGTTAATTCTGATGACATCCCCTGCGTTGAAGCTCAGATCTTGCAAGACGTTGCTCTGGTAATCATACAGCGCTTTGCAGTACGAACTAACACTCGGGTCGGAATATTCTACTTCATCACCTTTGGAAACACCCTCCTTTTCCTCATACTGAGGCAAATTATTGATTACATCTGAGCTTATATCAACGAAGTTACATGGAAAGGCTCCGGTCTGTTCTCGGAGTTCGCCCCGTAACCAATCGTCGTTGATTTTTGCGACCACGTGAATGATTTCACCCGCAACGAAGTCTAGTTCGCCATCCATCAGGTTTCCACGGAAATCGTACAATGACATTACGTCGAATGGGGAGCTTCCTGGCGTTGCAAGCGGCTGTTCAAAACAAGAAAAAAAACAATACAAAACAAAAATCACGAGAAATTTCAAGCAAGCGAAACACGAAATTATGAAAACCCGGTAAGCACCGCCCAGTCTCTTTATAAAATCACAACATTATAGTGTTCAGTTTTGCAGGATGTCAGCAGTCCTTCCACAAATAACGCTCAAATTACTTGGTTACGACGCCTAGCCATATGGGCCTATCAGCCTAACACTGCGACGTATGGTTAAGGGGGAGAGTAAAGCTGGAGTCGCGATTTTTCTTTCTCCAAGACGACCGGTCGGGTTTTTATATTTTTTCTTCTCTTCTCTATTCTTTTTTTAATCATTTTTTTTTTCGCGCGATTTCGATTGTCTCCACTGACCGAAAGCCTTACACACGGGTCTCATTGTGGAGTTAAAGAGACAGAAAGAGAAAAGTGGAAAGAGATCCAGTGAGAATATTGTTCTTTTATCGCACATAGTCTTCCCAATCACCCCACACTGGCACGCAGACCACTCCAAAGAAAAGATAGGAGACTAAATCCAACATTACACTTCCGCGGAACGAATATCTGATTATTTTTAAAGCTGTACACTCAGTGTATGTTTACTTGAGTTTCCGGCTCCATTTCTTGTGGAAGATCCTCAATTATTTCCACAAATTTCACTGGAAACATTCCTTGTTGATCGCCGAGGCGGCCTATGTACCAATCGTCATCCATCTTTCGTACTAGAACAATTTCATCGCCTGCCTGTTGATGGAGAAGAGGAACTATTATTTGCAACAACTTAACGTTGGATTTATTAACTCGGAAAGCTTTTAAATCACTCGCCTTCGGTCCGTGATTCATAAGCTTTCCTCGTGTTCTCCCAACATTCTTCGTGGCTTTATCACGTTCTAGAGCCCGGGAAAACGTATTCTATCGCTTAAATGGCCACAATTTCAAATCCTTTCATGTACACGTCGCTATACTTCAACTGACTTCTAGGTTTCCAAAGTTGACTTGTTTCTCTAGAAAATCTTGAAGGCCAGACTTCTTCCACTGTGTGGCTTATATCCAATCCTCACACCGTCGCAAACATAACCCGAACAGACTATAACTTAGATTAAATCTTAAAGTAATTCACTTACATTAAATGACAGGTCATCCACTGCAGTAGGTTTATAGTCGTACAGAGCAATGGCGGACGGTTCAATGTATGTCTTACTAACAGATGACACTTGGGTCGTAGATTGCTCTTCTTTAACTTCTTCCCTAGTTCCACGCACACATATAAAAAGGTAAAATAATAAAACGTCTAGCAATGAATACAAATAAGATGGCAAAACTGAGCCATGATCATCTCGATCCGTACCAAGTACACCGCTAAATGTCTTAAGAACGTTTGCTAACTCGCTAATGAAAACAAACAAGCCTACAACGAAGGCTTAGTTTCTACTTACTTTTCACCAGGTGCTGACGGTCGAGGTGGTTTGCTCTTTGTCGACACTGATGAAGATGGAGGCCGCGGGGGTTTCGGTTTGGTTTTTGAAGACGCCTTTTCATTTTTATCCTCCTCGTGAGCTTCAGTGGCAGATTCATCTCCTCCTAGTACGGAATCACATGTCTGTGACATGTCCTGCACGTGATTGTCAGCTGACGACTCCGCCACCGTTCGTGTCTCAGTCACATTCGTTTTCATGAGATTAGCTCCAAGTGGAGCGATAGGAGCAGGTTTTGCTGGTTTGGGTTTCTCGTCTGCACAATCTTCCTCTTTACCCCCATGTGAGTGCTTAGTGTCGATCACCTTGGAGGACGGCCTGGGCGGTCTATTTTTCTTTTTTGACTTTTCAGTATCAAAGTCTTGTGTGACAGTCTTGTCTTCCTCTGGAGTCGAAGCCAGTCTATCACTGACGTGACTTGCTGCGGGAGGTCTGGGCGGTGGTTTGCTTCTTTTTGACCTGTCTTTTAAGTCTAACGATTCAGAGCGCACCTTTTGGGTCGCTTCTACAGCCTCACTGGCATGGTCCACCATAGGGGGCCTGGGTGGGGGAGGTCTCTTCTTCGAATTCTTCCTTGTCAGATTACTCGACTCTTCTGGTGGAGATGCAGTATCACCCACCCCGTCTGCAGCCGTCAACGCTTCTTTTCCTTTGACTCCAGGCAAACTTACAGGTCTTCTAGGCTTTGGTGATTTCTGTTGCACTGTTTCCGCGTCCTGCTCGGAGACTCGCGTGTTGAGTTTGTCTTGACTGTCTGTTGAAATGGCATCGACATTTTGGTTCTCCTTACTTGGAGCACTACTTGGTCGTCGCGGTGCTGCCTTAATGCTTGGTCCCCTCTTTGGCCTTTTGGGAGGTTTACGGTCGGCACCAGGGCTTGGCGAACCAGGACGGGGTGCTATAATGGTGGGAACACGCCTTGGTTTCACAGCTGGTAAGGCAGCCGCTGTCTCTTCGATTTTTGCCTCTTTCATGCTCTCCGCAGACTCAGTTGCACTGGGTGATTTCTGACGAGGTTTATCCTCTTGAATCTTACCTGCGGAAGATTCCTCTCCAGGCTTCACTTCTTCACTCATCTTAGGACGTCTAGGCGCGACTATCACCGTGGGCCTTCTCTTAGGTTTGGGGACAGCTGTAATCTCTTTTTGGGCTTCTTCCCTCGACGGTTTACTGGGAGTTTCTGGGGAACTGTGAGGTTTCGGTTTAAGAGACGGCTTGGGTTTTTTAGCAGGAGGAGGTGGTTTTCCTCCGTTACTACTGTCAGGCTTTGGTTTTACGCCACATTCCTCTTTGTTTTCTTCCTTTTCTTTCAACCCTTCTGTGTCAACTGCTGCTTTCTTTGCTGGTTTGGCAGGGACGATGACTGTGGGTTTGCTTTTCTTTCCTGCGGCTCTGTCATGCACTGATATTGCACTGTTGATGCTATTTTGACCATCCTCTTCCACAAAGGGGTTTGAGTCATTCTTTTCCTTCTGTGTAGGTTTTAGTCGGATGACTGTGGGTTTTGGAATGGGCTTCTTTGCTGCTGGAATATCTTTCACTGCATCAGGTTCTACTTTCCCATTCGATTCTAAGTTATCATGAAAAAAAGGATTTAATTTCCGTCCTTCGTTATCACCCTCCTCAGCTTTGTCTTTTGATATCTTCTGCACTGGAGGAACTGGTGCTGATATCCTTGAGACAGACCCCTTTGTTGGAATCTCCACTCCATTCGAGTTCTCTCCCTCCACACTCCTCTCAGTAGGTTTGCGAACACTGCCTCCTTCCCCAAAATTTGCCCCTATGTTCTGTTCATCTGGTCGCAAGTTAATTTCACTCACAGGCCGGGACTTGGGTCTAGGTGGGGGCTCCCTATTCTTGGGTTTTCGGCTTGGCTTTTGAGCAATGGTTGGCATCTGAGTTGCTGATGTAGGCTGATTGGGGTGTGAAGGAGGTGGTATGACCCCAGAGGAGTCCAATGGTCTTGCTGACACTATGGTTATCTCCGGTCTCCCTTTTGCCCTAAATAAGAAGAGACAGAAAGGATTCTAACTGTATTGAGATGTTTCCTCATATGTGGAACTGTCCTTTAAAGTGATTTTATTTATAAATAAGGTATAATGAAGGTTATTTTATACCTTAACTTGGAAAATCTAACAGCTAATTCTCCTATCCAAAAAATCTATATATTTCTTTTGTGGCTTGTCCTGAAAAATTTGAAGTACTTTAATTTAAAAAGTACTTATAGTATTTAGAGTAATTCTCTGTATTTCTCTGCTTAAACTCTGAACTCCCAAGATCTGATTGTTAATTCCCCCCCTCTAGCTGCTCCACATTTCCTTTAACATTATAATGATTAACATGATAATTACATGTTAGATAAACTTCTACCAGATAAATTTGACTAATCTCATTACCTGTTTGCAGGGTAATGTATTTGTATTATTATATAGCGAGAAATTACATGTTAACCATTTCTGAGAATTAAAGGGTAAATGGTTCATCAGAGTACTCTTCAGTCAAGTGTTGTAAAACCAACCGCCAATTAGGACAAAGAAAAAATCCTAATAAAGCCAATGAGAACTCAAAAGTCTTGAAACTAATTTACAAGGAAATGTGTGACAGCTAAGGGGAGTATTAATAATCAGTTATTACATTTCTTGCAGCACCCATGGGGAAGATGAAGTGAATCCTGTGATCTGATTGGGTACCTGAGTGGGCAAGATGGACCTCGACTTTGTCTTGGTCCATAAAAATGCAAAAAAAAGAACTTGATGGGCAATATCTGGCCATCTTGACCTCACCCTTGGTTAATAACGCATATACTGGGAGTTGAATGGTTAAACACCAAACATGACTTTAACACTTGATCGGATAAGAGGATCAGGTACCAGTTTTCTTTAATACCAAGAACAGGGCAAAGAAAAACCATTCTACTCCTTGATGATAATAATAATTGATATGCCTCTTTCTTACTTAATTTTTGGGGATCTTTTGGTTGCTAAGTCATCTTTCTCAAGCCCTTTATCCGAGCTAACAGCTTCTACAGGCATCTCACCAAGGTCTACCCTTGATGGTATAGGAGGTGGGACAGATGATGGAGGCTTCTTGGCAGGAATGGTAGGATGGGCTCTGGAAGAAGCCATTGAATGAGCCAAAGGTACTTTAAGAGTATTATTAAAGGAGAGAAGAACTGGATCCAGAGGTTTGAAGATATTTCCTTCAATTAGGTGGACAGAGCCATAAGTTTTGTTAGAAATCTGTGAATAGAGATGAAAAATTTAAGTGTATCAGTAAGGATTGTAATGTCAGTAAAAATTAACACTTATTACATTTCGAAGACAATCTTCATGCAATAATTTAAACAGGCGTGATATGTGTGAATACCTTTATAGCTAAACTTGTGGTACATGTTAATGCCACTTGCAAAGGATAGGAACAATATAGAAAACGACTGGGGACGACGAGAAATTTGCATCGAGGCGGACGTATATCAAGGGATCTAGTCTTTTACACCTTAGAAATATATATTTGATATCCAGCTGGCTCGCTTCGATCCTTCTCAAGCAAATTCAGGAGTACTCCTGACTGCCTTCAAATTTTTAACTTACACACAGTGAAGTTGAAAATAAAAAGAAATATCGGATAATAATCAACTGTAAAATAAAGAAAATATACCTTCTAGCAGTGACGAAGAAAAGCAGAGTTTCCAAATTACAATTAATTCTCTGTTGTTACAAGTTCGTGATCTTCCAAGGTTGTTTTGCTTTCGCGTACATCGCAGTAGATCTGGATCCTAGTGTAATGTGAACGACCGCTGATAGGATCTTCTCTCACTGAACTAACTGCTTGCCCATTGAATTATGGGTAGTAATGGAATGTTGGCGGTTATTTCAAGCGATCAAAACAGATAATTTATGTATTCTACGTTCGAAATTGCTCCGATCTTTCCTTGACCTGAGCAATTCTGTTGTTAACCATGCCCGAGGAAAAGGATAAAGTTATTCCTGTACGTGTCGCTTTGAGAATAAGACCGCTAGTTCCGAAAGAAATCGGCGAGGGTTGCAAACAATGTATCAGATGCATACCAGAAAATGCACAAGTTGTGATCGGTGATGACAAAGCCTTCTCTTACGATTATGTGTTCGATACGACAAGTATACAGGAGAATTTATACAGGAAGACTATAATTCCGTTGCTTGAAGGCTTTTTTAACGGATATAACGCCACAGTTCTCGCATATGGACAAACAGGGTCGGGAAAAACATATTCCATGGGCACAGCATTCACAACGTGTAACGAGACCTCTGAGGAAAGAGGTGTGATTCCAAGGCTGATCGAGACTGTGTTTCACTGGATCAATGAAAGAAAGGAAAAAACGGAATTTTTGCTGAAAGCGTCATTCCTAGAGGTACCAATGAAAATGTGTCCAATATAAGTGATTGTTAATACGATGTTTTGATCGAAATTAATTATTCTCATCAGTAGCAAACTAGATTGTTTTTCCCTTCCTCTCAGGCTCTTTCTATCTCTCTCGTTTATGAAAAGAATCTCAGCGATCAATAAAAAAATGAATGAATAATATAAATATATATTTAAACTGTTCTTTTAACAATAATTTTTTTTCTATTTGTCCTGGGTCATGCACTGTTGTGGGAACAATTTTTGATTCTATATTTTGTAGATTCACAATGAAGAGATACATGACCTTTTGAATCCTTGTCCTCCGGATGAATCTAAGATTGCCATAAGAGAAACACATGATGGTGGAATCAAGGTGAATCTGGTGACTAGTGTTAAAGGGGAACTGGAATCCCTAAGAAGGCACTTTGACCTCGCACAATGATATTCCAGCTTACTGAAAAGGTCGCCTTTTTGAGGAGTAAACAAAATTTGCTGCAGAAAACTGTTCATGCTCTATTTGATAAAAGATTGCTCCTGCTAGCAATAGCTAGTTGATAAATTTATTACAGTATGGCTACATGTATATTGTATTTAGCTAGTATCTCACTTAAAGTTCTACACCTAGAAAATATGTAGCTTTTAAGATCTACTTGTTTGGTAGCTCCTCAGCTTTTGCGAATAAGAATTATTCTAAATTACAGGTAGATTAATCTTTGTCATATTGTTTTGTTGTCAATTAATGTTGAGGTTCTCAATTACTTAATATTCTTGTTTACAAGGTTGTTTCTTCAAGTACCTTTATTTTTAAGCTGACACTGCTTTTAAATGTTATTCTCACACATGACACAACTGTACACCTTTTTATAAGATACACAGAAGAGCTTCATTTGGACAGCTGTATACAAGTTTTCCTTGGTGTTCTTGCTCAATTTGTTGAGATTTTTGTTATGTTTGTGCTAGTTAGAGACAATTGGATTTTACTTACTGTGTGTACAAGTTTACATGGCAATGAAGATTTTTTTCTTATCTAGTAGAATGATTAGTAATACACCCCAAAGTGTAGAAGCTTTCTTGTAACTTAGATATTATTTTTCATAGATTGCTGGTTTACAGGAAGTAGTGGTAACATCTGGGGCTGATATGGTGAGATGCTTAGAGCAGGGATCTGCATCAAGGGCAACTGGAGCCACTGCCATGAACAGCAGATCAAGCCGCTCTCATGCCATATTTACAATAACTTTAGAACAGAAGAAGCTGCAGGGGTAAATGGTCTTTAGGATTTTTAAGGATCTTAGCCGAAATCTGAGTATTCAATAAGAGTCCCCAGAGATTCTCATGGTGAAAAGAAAATGACTTTTTTTTGTTTTCCACAAAAGTTATAATTTTGCTCAATAACTTTGCCCAGTTGGATCTTGCCCAGTTGCAACAAATAAGTACACATATTCCCATTAAACCTCAAAGTAATTTCATCCTTTAAAAGCTCAAATGAAGTATTGAAAGGACTTTTTGAGGATGTTTTTTGGCATTGAATCTGGACAAGGAAGATTTCACATGTTTTAGGTAAGGATAAGGGTTTTCAGTCGAAAGTGTTCTTAGCAATTTAGATCCTACTCTCATTCTAGAGTAAAGCTCCCATTAACACCATGGCCATTCCTTCTTGATGAACAAGCAAATAGGAAAAAAAGAGTGGTGCACAAAAGCTGTGACTGACCTGGGACGTAGAAAATGAATTTCTCACTTCCCCCCCCAACTGGTATTTTTCAAATGTTGGAGAGTGGTGCCATTATATTGATAACCTAGCCTTCAAAAGTCTCTATATTATAGGTTCAAATTTGATAGCCAGTTTTACAACATTGTTTCCAGGAGTGAACTCAAAAAGGCTAAGTTTCATCTGGTGGATCTTGCTGGTTCTGAAAGAGTAAAGAAGACACATGCTCAAGGGGAACGCTTCAAGGAAGGTACAGCTTAATGCTGTTGTAAGATAAAGTGCTTTTTTCATGAATTTTTAGCATG